CCCGCAGTGTGCCCCTCTGCCGTCTGGCCTCCTGGCCCTTCCTCCAGTCACCCTCCGCCTTGGCTTCCCAGCAGCTCAAATGCTCACGCTGCTCAGCCTGGCCCCTGCTGCGTGTTCCCCTGGATGCTGCCTGCTGTAGCTGTTGCTAACCCCGTCAAACTGTCATGATGCTCCATTCCTTCTGTCTAACAAGAAAACACCATCCTGGTATCTTCAATTTAAGGATTCGTTCTTATTTCTACTGGAATGGTTACTAATTATGAAGCCTATTCCTATAACAGTTACCTCTCTAGTACATTATGTTGATCTCATTGCCCACAGAGTTAGATTAGATTAGCAGTAAAACCAGAGTTTTATAACATTTCTTACACAGCATCTTGTGGTCCAAAATGACTTGCTTAGAGAAGAAAATGTGAGCAGTTAACTCATCAGCATCACGGAGCGTCAGGCCCCCTTTGAGGTAAGGATCTGAGGTGCAATACCAGTGCGGAGAGCCTAACAGAGTCTCCAGCACACCAGTGATTGTCATCCATTGACGGGTAGGATATTCAGGCATCATTAGCCGATACCATCAGTTCCACCTGGTTTTGGCAAATTCAAACTTCAGTGCATTTTCTGTTATGCTGCTCAGAGTAAACCAGAGCGTGCTTGCCCAGGGACGGGTTCCGGGCGTGTCAGGTTGGCGCAGCAGGCTCTGCGCCCTGTTGGGCGCCTTGCCTGTGTCAGCGTAGTGTGCGAGTTGTCCAAAGGTCAGAGGCTCTCACAAAGTGGCACCAGAGGAGAACAAGGGGCCGTAAGCCCCCACATCCCTCATCCGTTTGAACTTATATATTGCAGATTTCATGATCACCTCCTGAGTTGTCCAGCACCCCCTCTCTGCTGTTACCTGGGATGCTCTGAAAGAACAGAGTAAACTAGTGGGAAGGTGGGACCGTTTTGTTTGACCTGTAGGTTCAAATAATTTCCCTCTTGCTTATGTCTTAAGCAATCCAAACCTACTCTGCCTCTGTATATACAGAGGCTGTTTATATTGTGAGCTGAGGGAGCTAAAACTGTACATTGAAAGAAGGAAAGGAGAGAAGGTCTTAGGCAGTAGATCTGTAATCGAATCGGGGACAGTCACAGGACTCGGGCTCTCCCCAGCTAGAGAGGGCAGGATTCAAAAAGCACAGCCTCAGAGCTGCGCTTGCTGCCGCTTGCAGAGGCCGAGCACAGCACTGGGTGCGCCTGTGGCCTGTCCCCTTTTCACTCTTGTGTCTCCTGCTCCGAGAGGACCGGGATGAAGAGGTACCCCGGGTGAGCCCCGCACGCGTCTCCAGACGTGGCAGAGCTGTGTGACGCTGGGGGGGCAAAGCCAGCACTGAGGAGTCAGCAGAGGGAATGGGCGGCAGGGTCTGGATACAGGCGTCGCTCAGTCCACAGGGGAGAAGCAAAACCACAGACTGCGACCGACTCTGTAAACAGTGGTGGAAGCCACAAACCAAAGGAGTCTTCACATGTACCCCCAAAACTGCAGCAGGCATTCTTCTGGCTGTCCTTTCATCTGCAGCTGCCTAACTGCATTCCTGTTGTCAGTGTCTTACTCATCCCCGCGTCCCCGGGACTCAGAGGGGGCGGGTCACAGTAGATGCTGCGAGAAGAGGTGATTTAATCGTAGCTTGGATGCCAAGTTTTCTTCCCATTCCCCTCTGATGGAACTAAACTAAATCTAGTCCTACAGACATGACTTAGTGCCTGCTCATGCAAAGTGCTGTGTCAGACATCTGAGGATGAATTAGATCCATTCCTGCCCACCAAGCCTCCCCCCCGCCCCGGTTGCTGGAAAGAAGAGACATTTGCAGGCAGAACTATGGAAGTTGGGTTGCTGTGCTCCTACAAAAGCAGGAGATCGTGGTTGTGCCAGGGGGCCCTACGCCTGGGCGCCTCATCCTTGCCTTTCATCTTTACATTCCGCTCCTTGGTGCCTGGGATTCCGCATCCATCCCCTATTGAAAGTGTTGCTGTTTTAACTGCCAAATCCAATGGCAGTCTTTAGGTCTTCATCTCTCCCAATCTCTCTGTAATATTTGATACACTATTTCCCATCTCATGCCCTTCTAGAAAAATCTCTCCAGCCCTGACTATGGCATTTTGGTATTTTTTCTTAATGCTCTGATGCTTCTCTTTTTAAAAAAGTTGTCCTTTTATTTTACTTTATTGTTTTTGTTGCAAGGTAGTTTTTATTTATTTGCAGCAATTAAAGAAGATGGGATTTATATCCAAAGCTCTGCCCCCCAGAAGGGAGCCTTAGCCATTGCTTATATACAGTTTAGTCAGTTACATGTTGGTGTCTTTAAAAGTTGTCCTTTTAAATCACCCATTCTTCAGGACAAACATTTCCCCATCCTCTCTTCTCCAAACCCTTTCCATGGAGATCTTGCCACCTTCCACAGCTCTTTGGAAAAGACTGAGGTGATGTTAAGATTCACCTAACACTGTCCCTTTCCTTCGCTAGCGTGTCCTCTGAGTCCCTTGCTTTAGATAGGATGCTGTCTCACCCACGCGTCCTATTTTACGTAGGATCAGAAGCCATCCGTCATTTCCCTTCAGAAGCTTATTGCCCGAGAAGTTGCTAATGAGGAGAGAGGAATGTTTCTGATCAGCGCTTCCTCTGCTGGTCCTGAAATGTATGAGATTCACACCAGTTCCAAGGAGGAGCGAAACAACTGGATGAGACGGATCCAGCAGGCAGTCGAGAGGTAACGTTTCCTTCTGTCCGTAACCTGGGAAATGGGCTTGTTCAGTCGGGGAACATGTTCTGACTGTGTCTCCCTTGCATGAAAACGGCCTCAGCCCGGTGGCCTGCTCCCCTGCACCTGCGGGGAATAGCCCCTCACTCAGCTCTGACCTCGCACCCCCTGCATGTACCCCCCCCCGTGGCAGCCCGACCCATCCTGGTGCAGTTCATGCTCACCTCCCTCCCGAGCGCCTCTTTGCTGCCAGTGCTCTTTCGTACCTGAAATTCTTTAACACATGCTCTCGAAAGCATTTATTTGGTGCTTGTCACACTGCCTGTGGCTATAATAATTTTCTATGTATATATGTTTATTAGATTGGAAGCTCCTGGAGGGCAGGGCCCATGTCTCGTGTCTCTGTGTGCTGGGCTCTGAAGAATCGTTCAATAAATGCTTTTAGATTAGTGGAGCTGAGCGTTCTAAGTCAGTTACTCCTCATTACTGCGCAAGGGCAG